CATTTGCTAGCTGTGTGACCCTGGAATAAGGGAAATCATTCAGGAATGATTAGAAGAGATGGACTAGTCATGTAACAATGATAACAGAATGATAATAATACCTGATATTTCTATGGTGTAAGATTTTCCAAGTGCTTTCTTTACGTACATATGATCTCATTTGGTCCTCACAACAACCCGTGAGGGAGGTACTATAAAAACACGTTATTCCCATTCTATAGATGAATAAACAGGTTCTGAGATATTACTATCAAGTCAACAAATATTTGTTAAATGCTTAATATGCCCTACGTTCAAATAGAATCAAATGTGTTTTACAAAGAAAATTTAAATTAAATATTACTAGGGAAAATAGGAAAGGACCCTATTTTTCAATTGCTGGGGAAGTTTTAAAGCAAAAATATTTAGAAAATAAATCTAATACATAAGGAATGGCTTTTTAAAAATGTAATACAGAAGCATCATTATTTTCCCCCTAATTTGAAACTCTTCTTTAACATACAAGTGCACTTAATTTAATTCCTTCTTTAATACAAATTCTCAAATGCATCTATCATCTTAATTTGGATATTCTCTCTAATGATGCCAATCACAATCTATTCCATTGTCTGCCCCTGCAGTGCAACTCTTGTCCATATATTCCCTTCAGGATCACCCAACATTCTGGAGGCCTTCCTCACTTTCCCCTGACACGGGAGCAATCATGTAATTTACCTATCATTCCTTGCCATATGACCAGCTTACCTTCTCTCCTATCATACATGTTACTAAAATGCTTTATTCTTCTTGTTCACTGAAATTTTTTAATGATTCTAACTAATTTTGTCCTCTGATACTCCTTTGGAACAAAAGGCACAGTAGTCAAAAATTCTCAAATGGATATGTAATTTGAAATAAAACAACAAGCAAAACAAGAACAGAACTGTCTCCACCACTGCTTTACAAAATATTTTCTACTTTTCAAAAACTGTGATTAATTCTATCAGACAAGTGATTTTATTGTTATTACTAAAGAAAAGAAAACAATTAGTTTCAGGGAAAACTAGTACTTTGACAACACACTTTCTCCAACTGCAAATAACAAGGATAAAGAGAAATTAATATTTTGGGTTCTCTATTTTATATTAAAATGAAACAAAAACACTATGTTTTTTCCAAAGAAAGATATAAAAAAAGTTCTTTTGTCAACAGAAAATAAATTTGAATTTATAAAAGTGTAAGTTCTGTTTACAACTTTCAGTATTTAAGTATATTTTCAGCTTAGTAGAAATCCTAGTGCTTTGCTGACTACAGTTCCAGGTTATAATTCCCATCCATCTTCCACAGATGCCAAACTCATTTACCTAAAGTACTGGTTTAATCATATCATGCCCTGAGCAAGAAGCTTCAATGGTTCTCCATTTCTCTTAGAATAAAATTTTAACTGCTCTGTTAGCAGTAATGTGGCTCTAGCATATCTTTACAAGATGCTCACACTTTTCCCCATGAACACTATACTCAAGACAAACCAGCCTAATTAATGTTCTCATATACAACATTTTATCTCACACCTCAGTGGCTCTGGCACAGACCTAGAATGTTGTTCCTCCTTGTTTCCACACTTCTTTTAACTCCTAATTTACTTCAAGGCTCAGCTCAATCAACATACAATTTACTATGTGCCCAGAGATGTCCCGGGTATACAAAGACAAAAACAGAACTGTCCCTGCTCTAGAGAGCTTACATTCTTTTAAGGAGCCTTTCCTAATTTTCCCCAATTACTCGTAACTCTTCCCTTCCCATAACTCTTCCCTTCCCCGTACCCAGTTGGGCAGGGTATAGATCTTATCTGTATTTTCTGTGACCATATTGTGTCCCCCCAGTAGAATGTAACCCCTGTGAAGGCAAGGACTGTCTTACTTTTGTATTGGTATTTCCAGTGCATAGCACAACGCCTGGCCCAGAGTAAGTACTTAATAAATGCTCATTAACTGTGTATTTAGAAAAACAAAAAACCTTAACACATCTTGAGAAAGATTAAAAGAAATAATTTTAGCAAAAAAAGTATGGTTTATTCATTACTAAAAACCATTTACATGAAATGAATAAGCATATACAATGTGATAATTAAAAAGAGAGGCAAACAGATCTAGAACCCAATGAGAAGGCAGGTGAAAGATAAACGTGAATATTGAATGGAAAACCCACAATGGAGAAAATGCTGATCTGGTCTTCAAACTAGGATATCAGGATTAACTAGAAGTGAAAACAAGCTTTTCCTGAAATATACGCAAGTTCTCTCTTACATCCCTCTCCCCAGAATACAATCACAAACTCCAGGTTTCTAGGTCCACAAACAGAATCTTTCATCCATAATCTTTCACAGAGAATGCAGGAAACTAAAAGCTGGGAGGGAAGGGCTATATGGATCTGTGTCTCAGAACACAATAACAGCCTTCATAAAATACGAATATAAATCTTTAGCACTGATCATTTAAACCAACATCTCCCCTTTCCTCTCATTCCCCAGTTCTGCAGACTCCTATGTATCTGGAGCAAAACCATGCAAGATACCTTTATATTCTGCTTGCAACCCCATCAACCTGGTAGGACTAAGCACTTTGGCAGCTCCATAAATCTAGATTTGCTCTCCAATGCCTATTTTAGTTAAGGTGGTGCTAAGGTCTAAACAGAAATAAAGAACTTAAACTGACTTTCAAGGAATTAGTAAGACCTTCTACAATAGTTGAATCAACCACACCTTACATTGTCACCACCTTAAACCTTATACTCCCAAATTCTTAAATCCCAAAGTTGTGCCAACATATTTTGGAGGAGGGAGTATGTGGAGGAGGGGGTGCCTAAAACTAGAATGAAGAGTTGGAAACAGAACTTGCTGAAGCAACTCCCACTTTTTTACTGTTGCCTCAGCTAAGATCCTGCTACTACTGTTTCCTTGTTGTTCTCCAAGTCCCCAAGCCCTCTTGTAAGCCACAGCATTTCACCAGACCCCGCCCTCCTTTATGACTTTCCTCATTTACTCATTCTACATTCTCTAAGGCCTATACACTGCTCCATCGGATATCTCACAGGTATGATGTGCACATTTTCTGGGACTGTGAAAGAACAGTCTTGGTTTAGGTTTTAAAACATAGTTCAAAAAGAAGTAGCCCATCAAGATCCCCCTATTTGCACTGGGAAGGGCTCCTTAAACTTCTACTCAGGACCCCCTTTCACATTTTGCAGTGTTATATTGGCGTTGCATGGCCTGAGGTCATGCAAAGTGTGCATGCTCTATTTTCAGAACCAAGGCAGCAGTGTGGTGCAACACAGGCAGAAGCACAGCCAGAAACATCTCAGATTCATTACTCCTTTGACTTTAAATCGATTTTTGGTCTTTACAAGTTCAGAAACATTTTACTGTTACCAAATTTTTTGCTACCCCATATGGAGTCCCATAGTTAGGAGCACTGGATAGGTCTTTCTCTTAGATAATCTCATCTACCACTTAATTTGCTGTCAATCTCCCATTAGTCCCATGCAAGATTCTAGTTGGGATGAATAAGAATAATAAGAATCTAGTTGGGGAGAAAAACAATTATAATTCTTTGAGAGCCTATCTTTTATAGTCAATAGGTTTGAAATGAAAAGATGAGCTTGAAGATACACTTGATATAACATACTGTTGGTGGAGATACTAATAGATTAACCATTCCCTGTAAGGTAATTTGGCATTACGGTTTTTAAAAAGTGACTAAAATGTCCATAATTCTGACCCAGAAAGCCTACTGATAGACATATATCCCAAAGATGTCAAAGAGAGAAAAAAACATGCCATATACACTACAGTGTTTCACAGAAGCACTTTTTATGTTAGTGAACAACTATAAACAAAGACCAAAGAATGAAGAATGGGTAAACAAATTATGGTAAGTGAATTTAATTAACATACCATAAAAATAACACATATGAACAATTCAGAAAAGCATAAGAAGTCTTATTTGAACCGATGCAGAAAGAAGTAAGCAGAGCAAGGAAAACAATATAATATAACTATAACATGTTCCTAATAATAGGAAGAATTACAACAGAATACTTTGTAATTATAATGACCAAGTTCAGCTACGGAAAACAAAATTTAAAAAATGCACCTCTCTCCCTACTTTGCAAAGGCGGGACACTTGGAAGGATGTGTTATGTCAAAACAGGTCCAACTCTGTGTGCTGGCTGGTTTCATTAAAATACTTCCCACTACCACCCTTTTATATTCTTTATTACAAAGAATGCTCTTTGGGTAGGAGAGAAATATGGCATATATTCAAAAATGAAGATGAACAAAAATTATCAAGCAAAAACAGAACAAAACAAAAGATATCAAGAAAAAATAAAAAGCAAAAGAAAGTGTGGATTTGGAAGTGATTAAAGTACATTTTACTCTTCAGCAACTTTTTCTTTTTGTGTTGAGGACAAAGGAATAATAAAACTTTTTTTTAAACTTTTAGATTCTCTGAGGCCATTGGTAGTAAATATTTTAAAAAGCATTTTTAAAGCTTGTTTACTACAAAAGTTCCCTCAAAATTCTATTTAAAATGAAGGTTTTCACTAGTACAGTTTGATAAACCAATGATTTAGGCAAATGAGAAAAGACTCTAAAGCTACCTGAATACGTATTTATGTTTTACTGTCCCACAACTGAAAGATACTTTCTAAATGGTTCTATACTACAAAGAGAAGTTTCAATGCGCCTAAGTGCTAAGATGGTCAAGACTTTGCGTACTCAAAATGAAACAGCTATTCTTATTACTCACCACATGACTTTTACTTACATAAAACTCAAAGAATAATTGCTGAAAGCAGACTTCAGACTTCATCACATAATTAATAAAAATTCCTTTCCTGAGAGATAACAAATTTAACAAAACCTAGAAGTTGACAGCCAAAGAAGTCATATAGTAACATTATTATTCTCCTAAGGACTTATTAATAATCTATATATAATATACTAATTTAAAATGCCATACCTTCTGATTTTGTCCCAGTAGCTGAAAGAATGGATGCTGAAAACCATGTATCAATTATAGTTACAGGCAACAGGTAAACACATCTGTGGTTCACTCTTTCCAATCCCAATAGTTCCTGAAAAAATTTAAGGAGGACTGGGGTTATTTTGCAATGTTTGTTAATTTAAAGGAACCCTTTAAAGCATTTAATAATTCTGAAAAATTACTGATATTGATACAGATTCTTTAAAATTTGCAAGGCACTTTTTCACAGTAACTGTAATGCAATTAGTATACATTTTATTCCAGTTTTACAGATTAGGAAACAACCTCTGAAAAGTTACATAGTATACCCATCATTTGTCTGAATAGTGCTTCAAACCCAGATCTGTCTACTCTATAGTCCAACACCCTTATAGTCCAACAACCCTTTATATGAACCATTCTGCCCCCTCAATGGAAGTATTACAAGGAATTATACTACCTCTTACAAAACAAAGAAGAAAAAAAGAGAATACTTCAAGGAGTGGAACACTTTTATAATTATTCCAGTCTTATTTTCTATATTGTTTCCCATGGTCATGATTTTTGACCATGCCCAGTGGAAATTCCTGATTTAAATGAGTACAGAAAGTTCTAAATCAAGTATCCACTCCTCAAAAATTAATATTCTTCTGTAGAAGAGAAATCTATGCAAGCAACAGCCAGGAATTTGTTTTTTTTTTTTAAAAAAAGAGTGTAAAAAGGAAATCACCAGAATGATTTAAGAGTAAACTTAATTATAGAACATTCTTGCTTTCTTGCTTTTTATACATTTTCTCCTCCTTATATTCTATAACCTGTTTTTCTCCCTACTTAAGACCATAAGCTTATGTAGGTATAAATCCCCAAACTGACATCCCCAAGAGTAACTCTTTAGTTTCTATTCTGTACTCCAATTTATTTTACTACTGTCTTCATTTTAACAGAAAGTTAACCAAACTTCAACATGTTCTGATAAGAGAATTCCCTCTTCCTTCCAAAGTATGTCAATAATAAGTTGCATGAGGATTTATGATCTGCTCCTCTCCTCCTCAACATACACAAAATATTCCTCCTTGCCCCCTAGTAGTTGACCTTGGGAGCCTCAGGAAAAGACGAGGTTTAAATACAATCACATATACTCATCATTCCATAGTTGCTAGTTCCCCACCTAGACTTAGCCAATACTAGAGTAGTAAGGTACTTCCAGCACTGGCTCTGTCCCCACCCCCTTCCACACAACTAGGAAAAAAAAGCTTTCAAAGAAGGGATAGTCTTGTTCCAAGCCTGGTTTATATCAACTAGACCCTACCCTAGATATGATCCCCCAAATCCAAGATTTAAGATCAATTCTATCTGTAACCTAAACTCTTAGGCCTGCTATGGTTCAAAAATAGGTAGCTTGATCTTCAGTTCCTATTCTCTAGTCGCACTTCATTTTATCAGTGTCCAACTTGTTTAGACCCAATATCTAAGGCTGCATATGGTATCACTGAAATTCCCTGAGCAAATTAAAGCAATGTTTTAGAACTCCATGGAAACACTACCCTAAGCTAAAGACAAATACATAAAACTACTACAAAAGCAGAAAAGACAGTGCTGCTTAACAATTTCATTTTAATTCTGTACATGGGAAATTGCGTCTAAGAATTAACTCTTATCCACGCCAGTATTTCTTATGAAAGATAATCTTCTAGTGAGAGCGAAGAGTTCCCAACCAAACAGGTGAGTGAGGATTCAGGTTTCTTCTTTCCTAGGTCCTGAGCCAAGCGGTTTAGCATTGTACCTAGACATCAGGAAAATTCATGCCAGGCACAAGCTTGCAACTCATTACTGCCCTCTTGGCAGCTAAGAATGGCATCTGTCATTAAAGTCATAATTAAAGGCAGAATAATCTTCATAAGAGTTAGACAGTAAATGGGGTAGAAGGGAGAGAAGGTGGGACAAAAAAGGCTCTTAGCCAGAGGTGTCAAACTCCAGATCAGCAAGTGCTTCAGGTACCAGATGAAATATAATTAGGAAATACTACACAAAATAAAAATATAAAACAATATAGATAATGTTAATTTATGGTTTTCTATGTCAGTATCAGCTTGCAGGGCTCTGTTTCTATTTAAGTTTGACAGCACTAGTGTTAGCTACAGGATGAACTTAGAAAATTCCTCCAGTTAACAAAACTAAAATAAATAACTTGGGTTTAAAAAATATAGACTTACACACACAAAAACTGACCATGTAGTAGGGCATAAAAACCTCACAACCCAATGCAGAAAGGCAGAAATATCAAATGCATCCTTTTCAGATCATGATGCAATAAAAATTATATGTAATAAAGGGCCATGGAAAGATAGACTAAAAAATAATTGGAAACTAAATAATCTAATCCTAAAAAATGATTGGGTCAAACAACAAATCACAGACACAATCAATAATTTCATTCAAGAGAATGACAATAATGAGACAACATACCAAAACCTATGGGATGCAGCGAAAGCAGTTTAGGGGAAGTTTTATATCTCTAAACGCTTACATAAATAAAATAGAAAAAGAGGACATTAATGAATTGGGCATACAACTAAAAGAACTAGAAAAAGAATAACTTAAAAATCCTCAATTTAAAAAATAGACTTATTTACTCTTAGACTATTACTTTCTTCAGCAGCTACATAAAAGTATTACTAGATCACTTCAGGCAATAAATTTAACCTTATGCTCACTTTCCACATAAAGCGAACAAACCTTTCTAACCAACAGCTTTTCTGACTGTGCTAGATGATAAACAGTACTTTAATTACATTACTCTGAAATTTTTCCAGAGTAAAATTAGTGACTGCAAGGTCATGGAATAAAGAAAAGTAAAAGATAAAGATGATATATACCTTCAAGATTAGAAATTACCATTATCCAAAGTGCAGTGTACATTCCTAAAAGTTTCTGATTCAGTTATGGAAACTTAAACAACATTTAAACTAATCTGCTTAGAATAGGCTTCCTATGCATAGTATAAATATCACTACAATGCAAAAGTACATGCATTTGGAATGCTTAACAAATCTGTTGTGGTGGTTGTTCAATCTTGTCCTACTCTTCTTGACCCCATTTGGGGTTTTTTCTTAGCAAAGACACTAGAGTGGTTTGCCATTTCCATCTCCAGCTCATTTTACATATGAGGAAACTGAGGCAAATAGGATTAAGTGACTCAACCAAGATCACACAGCTGGTGTCTAAGGAAGAATGTGAACTCACTTCCTCCTGACTCCAGGGCTCACTGCCCTTGCAGGAACAATTACCAAGAAATGGAAAACGTATGTCTCTTCACCTCTTGGCAGAAAGGGTGCAATTTTTTTTCATGTACAATATGTATTAGACTGAAGAAATAGAGAAATTCCATTTAAAATAACTAAAAACCAATATAAAATACTTGGGAGTCTCCCTACCAAGACAAACCCAGGAATTATATGAACACAATTACAAAATACTTTTCACATAAATAAAATCTGATCTAAACAACTGGAAAAAATATTAGTTGCTCATGGGTAGGCTGAGCTAGTATAATAAAAAATGACAATTCTACCTAAATTAATCTATTTAGTGCCATACCAATCAAACTACCAAGAAATTATGTTGTAGAGCTAGAAAAAAATAAAATTCATCTGGAGGAACAGAAAGTCAAGAATATCAGGGCAATTAATGAAAACATGTGAAGAAAGGTGGCCTAGCCATATCAGATCTCAAACTGTATTATAAAGCTATAATTATAAAAACAATCTAGTACTTGCCAAGAAACAGTGGTGGAACAGTGGCATAGATTAGAAGCACAATACACAAGAGTAAACGACAGTAATCTAGCGTTTGATAAACCTAAAGATCTAAGCTTTTGGGACAAAAACTCATTATTTGAGAAAAACTGCTGGGAAAACCGGAAAACAGTGTGGTAGAAGCAAGGTACAGATCAACATTTCACACACTGTATGCCAAAATAAGGTTAAAACAGATATATCATTTACACATAAAGGGCAATACCATAGGAAATTAGAAGAACTTGGAATAGTTCACCTATAAGATCTATGGATAAGGTAATAATTTAGGACCAAACAAGCTATTGAGAACATTACAAAGTGTAAAATGGATCATTCTGATTATGTGAAATCGGAAAGGTTTTGAACGAGCAAAACAAATACAACCAAAATTAGAAGTAAATACAACCAAAATTAGAGGAAAACTGGAGGAAATTTTTACAGCCAGTATCTCTAATAAAAGCCTCATTTATCAAATATATAGAGAGAACAGAGTCAAATACAAGTCACTCCCCAATTGATAAATGGTCAAAGGAGTCAAAAGCAGTTTTCAGACAAAGAAATCAAAGCTATCTATAATCTTATGGGAAAATGCTCTAAATCATTATTGATTAGAGAAATGCAAATTAAAACAACTCTGAGGTACAATCTCACACCTATCAGATTGGCTAATTAGACAAAAAAGGAAAAAGACAAATGCTGGAGGGAATGTGGGAAAACTGAGACAATAATGCTCTGCTGGTGGAGTTATAAACCACTCTGGAGAACAATTATATAGGCCCAAAGTGCATATAAAACCATGCATGCCTTTTGACCCAAAAATAATACCACTACTAGATCTGTATCCTAAAGAGATTGTTTTTTTAAAAAAAAGGGTCTATATGTACAAAAATACGAATTGGAAGTTAAGGGGAAGTTCAATTGGGGAAAGGCTGAACAAGCTGTGGTATATGACTGTAATAAAATACTACTGTGCTATAAGAAATGACAAGCATGATACTCTGAAAAAGCCTGTATTTACATGAACTGATACAAATTGAAATGAGCCGAACCAGAAGAACATTGTACACAGTAAGCCATATTATATGATAAAATAACTGTGAATGACTTGGCTCTTCTCAGCAACACAATGATCTAATCCCATTAGATTCATGAAGAAAAATGCTATCTGACTCCAGAGAAAGAACTGATGCTGTCTGAATACAGACTGAAGCATACTGTTTTTCACTTTTTTTTTTTTGAGTCTTGCACAAAATGTGTTACATGATTGCACATGTATAACCTGTATCAGATTGTATACTGTCTGAAGGAGGGGTAG